GATGTCTTGAACGATTAGTCACAGAGATAAGAAGGTATTAGAAGCCTAAGCTTATGAAGATGAAAACAAGAATAACATATTTACTTCTATACATGTCAAGGCCTAGGTTACTTGTAGGTAAACCAACAGAAAGCCTTGAATGGGGGCTGACCTCTGATATATTAGCATATGCTAAAAGTTGTTTGACTCCAATCACAAATCTTGTCAATGAATAAATATTCACTACTTTCGTGGTTACAGAAAAGGGCATATATATGGGCTCTTAAAACCTCGATTTGTAGTTATCTGCTTGCTGAAAGTACCCAACCTATATGATAAATATCAGGATTTAAAGGAATAATTAGAACAATTTGTTTTAAAGCTATCTACTTAAAAGCTTGATTTGCAGCTATCTACTTGGATACTGAATTTCATGATATTTACACTTGCACAGGTCCTCAGCTAAAAAAGGAGGAACTAGAACAACTTGTTATTCGGCTTATTGTGGATCATGTTTTGGTAAGACTTCTGGTTCTTCATTGTTCCCCCATCCTCTCCTTTCCTGGTTCAACTCTTGATGCACAAAACATGCTCCATAGCTTCCTGTTTGACCACAACAGTGGATAACAAAGAAGGGTGGTTTGCAAATTGTATTATCCTGTTGTAACATTTCTGTAAATGAGATGGAAGTGAGCGATAAAATGAGCAAATTAAAAGTAGGTTGCATTATTGAATACTTATGAGATTATTTATCAGTTGAAAGTTAAATAGACCAGCAGTAAAGCAAAAGGCAAAATGTTTGCGCCAAGAAACTGGAGAATTCATAGATGATAATTTGTCAGGCATTCAGTCACAAATCTGTTCTATTGTTGCACCTACCATCGGTAGGCACTTACAATGTGGACTCAACTTCTTGTCATTCTTTTGACTGTGTCGTCCTGCACTCTCTTACAGAAAGAAGAATTCCAGCATACTGCTTATTCCACAAATGCTTATGTTACCATAGGACCTTTTGCAAGGCAATTATTGCATGGTAAGGAAGCTACCTTTCAGAATATTCCATATAACCTGGAATTTCAGATGATGCTATTATTTTGAATAAGCATCTCTTATGAATGGAAGGCGTATTTTTTTGGTTGTTAAGCAAAGAAAAGGGAGAGAGAAGAAGAAGAATATTTTCTTTTTACTGTAATCGTAACTTATTGTCACTTGCAGGAAAGAAAATTATTAAGCTTGAGGTTTGTAGTGGA